CGCGCCCAGCCGATGCACCCAGCCGACGCACAACAAACACGAGCAAGCCGCCGTGTGAGAATCTAGCCGAGCGCTCGACTGACGCAGATATCTTAACGTTTCTCACATCGGACAATTCTGGCGCGCGCGGAATACCCGAGCCGCCTTTTCGATCACTCGATTTGGCGTAGGTTTCAACATGGCGGTATGGCCGCTCGAGAAAGAAAGCTCTCAAGGGCCCGCCGCTACAGCCGCCACTTACGCATCACCACGGCATACACCACGCGCTATACTTATCATCAACGGACCCAGAAACTTCAAAATTACTTGTAATCACTTACCTGATCAATGGAAGTCCACTTTTCACAGGAATTCTATCGAAAAACACTACCACTACGTCTTGGACACTCGCACTACGCTTTCTCCCTGCTTGCTAGTTTGGTTGGTCGGTGTTATGGCCGCCGCCGAGTGTGCCCCACCGTATCACTCACTCACTCTCACTCGTGCGAGCGCGAGCGCTCGGTTCGCATACGCGACGAACGCGGACGCGGCCCGACCAACTAGTTCCACACTTACGAATGCGGACGTCGATCTCTCGCACTAATATCGTATCAGTGCCCCGTACCGAGCTCCACCGACATTTTCCTGGAGTCTCGTACAATTAGATGGCTTTCCGTACCCATGACGATCTCGGATCTAGAAACTAACGATCGCAGCACCAACAATGGCTACGCATTCTTCCGCGACGTACAGAATGGTCCTGTTCCGCTGTTCCTCGAATACGACCTGTCTGTCCATTCCCCTCACTATTCTACCATTCCGAGTTTTACCGAATTAACACGAATAATAACGCGCCAATTTCAAAAATATTTAATAACAATTTAAAAATATTTTTCAATTTAGCTTTTTATTTAAAAAATATTTCTTTTCAATATATATATATATTATCAATAATTTTTTTTATAATTGTATATTTGTATATTTGAAATTTATATTTTTTTATCATANTATATATATTTGTATATACATGTTTATATATATATATATATTAATATATTAGAATTATTAATTATTATTATATATTATTAAAATAGCAAGAATTAGGATTTCAGGGATATATAACAATTCAACATCTTTATTTTTAAATTAAAATTACACTTTATTAATCAATCCAAAAATTAATGGTTAATTTCCATCGTTCCATGTTTACCCATAATGCATTTTTATATCACTGAAATAATGATTTATAAATATAAAAGTTAACAAGTAACAATAATAGAAAACAAAATAAATTTTAATATTATAAATAATAAGTAATTTTCTTATTTGAAATATAACGTTAAAATTTATCAAGCATCGCGCAAGTCGGTCCAATTCCACAATTCTGTTAACTACTGCAATGCATTTTGGGATACTCACAAAATCTATAACTATGTTCTGCTTATGATACAATGTCTTAAATAATTAAAATTATAATTAATATTATAAATAATGAAATAATTAAAAATATAATTAGCATGTAATAAATTTTTCATGATTCAAAAAATATTTTTTATAATATGTATGTCTTTATCACCATACAAAGTTCCGTTACACATCCAAAATGGCGAGATATGAAAAATTGATCTTAACATAATATTTCGAATACAATTTAAAATATTAATCTTAACTTTTAAAGCAATTAAATTTTGTCAACATAGTGAATAACACATTAAATAAATAATTTTTAAACATAAAGTTCTATAAATGACATAAATATTAATGTTTCAATGTCCAGAAACTCGTGACATTGACTACGGTAGTCAATTGGATAATTATACAATTTATCACATATCACTCTTTAAATAATTGTAAAGACACTAAATAAAAAATTTGTAAATATTTGAATCAGAATCTATAAAAACTTGTTACTATATGCATTGACACAAACGACAATGGCACCAAACCATAAAATGGCGTCTCTTGAATGAACTACTGTCACTTTTCTATAGTTTAAATTACTATCACGTATCACTTCGAATAGAAATATTAAATCACAGAAAAAGTATTTTTAATATTAAAAAACCAACATATTACAATCTTCAAAAAACAAATTATATAAAGATAAAGGAGTGTCTCAAATGCTTAAGATTAACGACCATTTTGGCTTTGATGACGTAATGAAATACGAAAGTCAAAAAAGAAACTAGATATTTAGGACTTGATGCCAATGCACACGTTAGCATCCTTCCGGTCAACATCAACTCTATCACGTTCTAAATAGCGATTGGTGTACTTTTGTATACTATACTAGATGAACCAATCGTTTAAAAACCAATATTGATGAGTCATTCTCTTTAGGATTTTCCATTGAAAATTGCGCAACACTATGTGATGTTTATTTTTCTTGTTCATAAACGAATGAATATCTAAATACAAAAGAATTATATTGTATCTTGAATATATAATTATTAATTATATGGTATTTATAATACTCTATAATACTCTATAATAATTAAAATCATTAATCAATATAACACAATTTTATAAAATTTATAAAATATTTTTATTCATATTTCTATATAATTTTTTTTTCTTTTTATTTTTAATCATAATAAAACAAAAATTACATATAATATGAAAAATAATGAAAAATCTTGAAAATTAAATTACATAAATAATATAATATTAATATCCATTTGATATTATATTATTCTCCATACTTCTTCGAATGCCGTGCATAATTTGCTACATGTTAAAGCACCAGATAAAGGATAATTACTTATAGATATAGTGTCTTCTATATAATCTGGCTTTACCTGTAATTTTAATTGACATATGATATATGAAATAAAATATATATATATTCATTCATTTATATAACATACCTGTCCATGTGCCATTGCACCTACTACAATAGCAATTGGTTCATCAAGAGGAACTAATTCTCGTGAATTTTGTATTTTATTTGCATTAAATGACATCGCAATTTTACGACATCCAACAGGTAAATGATCAGTAATTGGATTTTTAATTACTTTTAACAATTTCATTGGACCATCAGATGCACGAACATTAAACTTGTGTAATAATTGTACTGTAAAATATAAGAAAAATTAAATATTAAAAATAAAATTTTTCAATGTATAATTTTTACCCATTAGGCCAGCAAAACGTTTAAATGTTCTTGGTATCCTGGTTTGTGGATTTATTTCTATTAATACATTTTTTTCTGTATGTATATAAACTTGTAAAAGTCCAGCTCTATTCAATGGACTATCCATTAACATTAGTAGACATTGATGAGTAATATCTGGTCGACATGTACCAGGATCTTTATTATTTTTTTTTAATATATTAATGTGATCATCACAATTCAATAATTCAAAACTATTTCCAACCTAAACAAACTTAAAATTTCAATAAAACTTTTTACTATTTATATATAATGAAATTATAATAAAATATTTATAATAAAATATAAATTCAATTAATTAAAACTGAAAATTTATTTTAGAAATTGTGAATAAAACATAACCTTACCTTAACGGATTCTAATTGAGCTTTTTCTAAAATAACAATTAAACGTTTCTCTTGATTTTTAATGTGAGCGATATGAAGATGTTTCGGAGCTGGATCATATTCAAAATCTTCTTTTCGATTTTTACGTTTTTGCCCCATTTTTTTGTATTTATTAGAAATAAGAACTTTTACTTCTATATTATATACATTAACATGCAATGCATATAGTATTATGTACACAAACGATATAGAGAATAGACTTATATTCTCATACAATTTTATGTTCTACGTTCTGAAATACCGATTGTGCAGAAAATCAAAATGTTTAGTATAATTTTTTAAATACATGCAATATTTTGTGTAAGAATTATATTCAATTCAATTACAAAACTTGATTAGATAAAAAAGACAATAAAGTCAAATATTGAAGTTACTTTCATGTATAAATTTTATAAAAAAAATATAGATAAGAAGATAAATAAATAGTAGAAGAAAAATAGAGTTAAGTTAAAAAATAGAAAATCAATGCCATCTCTTCTGCCGCAGATGAAACTGTTATAAATGAGAACAAATTTAAGAAATAAATAGATGAGATAAGAATTAAATTCAATTTAATTCAATCTTTTAAATGCCAAATATATTTTTCTAAAGAATAAGTGAAAAGATACAAAATAAATTTTTATTATATATCAATACATTTTTATTTCTTATGTTTTTAAAATTCTAGTAAAATGGAATAAAAATTGAGAATTAGCGTCATCCTTTGAATGATTTTTACTTTTTATTCTACATTATCCTATCTTGAAATGTTTTTGTTACTCAAAAGATGGTGCTGATAATCAATTCTCAAACTATTTCTATCTTTCTTTTACTATTTTCTTTCTTTATCTATGTTTGTTTCGTTTGCGATACTCCAGAGATGGCGTTGATTCCTCAATTTTTACTTTAACTCTATCTTTTTTTCATTTTGTTCACTATTTGTTCTATTTGTCTATACTTGCTTTTGGCGCGTGACCACAGACGAGGTTGTATACAATTCCTAATCTAAAGTATGCAGTAGATGTCTCAGCAATGCAATAATTTACTTTATCAGCAAATAAAACTTAGATGCTTATATGCTCAGTTGATATGTTTACTCATTCTAAATAAAGTTTAGTAATATATATTATATATTAATATATATTAATATATTATAAAGTTTGAACAGTTTTTTTCAGATCTAATATATATATAAAGGAAAGAATTATTTGTACAAAATGAGATTAATTTATTATTAGAAAATTCATCTTTTAAATGTAAATCCTTTTCGACGACTTTTAATATCAACCAATTGTTGTGCCTGTTTTTTAAGATTATTTCTAGTTGGTATATCTTCTTCATCTTCGGAAAGCAATGTCGCCGGAGTTGCTGAAGATGGAAATCGTGGAAAAAGTGGTCCTTCATTTGTACGTGTTGCTTTTCCTTCTACCGAAGTAGTTGCAATCGATATTGTTTCCAACTAAATAATAAAAAATCAAAATGATTATAAAATAATTTTTGTAAATATAAAATAACAAATATAGAAAATAACACGTAAGATTTTCAATTAAAGAATTTTATCATAAATTTTTCAAATATTTTCAACAATTTCAAGATATATGTATTACACTTTATATTTTTATATTTTTCATATTTTTCATCGTTTAACAATTACTCACAAATTATCCTATGTAACAAATGATAAAAATATATTTTAAAATTCACCTTATCAACTGATATTTCATCCAATATTTCCAAATATTTATCCGGTCCTCCTAGAGATTCAATAATACTCGTTGCTTTTTCATTTATTAAATCTATAAGTTGCAGAGGATTTTGAATTTTCTTTGATTCTTCAGGCAACGTATCGATTATATCCTGAAAAATTATATCTATTAATTATCTATATAATTATTATTTTTTTTTCTTTTTTAAAAACTATCCTTTTTTATTTTTTCACCAAAGTATTTATCATTTTGTTTTACAAAAAAAGAAACCTTCAAATTTTGAAAATTTTCTTTAAATTTCTAAAGATGTAATTTTTATTTAAATTAGAGATTGATTTCCCAGAAAAGATATTTTGTGAACA